CAGGCCAAGTCTGGCTCTCCGCTGCCCCCTGTCCCCTGGGGTCCCATCACCTGCCCTCACCTCTCTGACCCACCCCTCACGAAAGTCTCCAAGTGCCCTTTGAGCGGCTGTATCTTACTTGCCTGACGTAGCGGGACACGTAAAACACACGAAGGGGGCAGATTGTCGAGTGGGGACAGGGTTTCCTTTAGGGGTGGCGGAATGTTCTGGAAGTAGATAGAGGCAGTGGTTGCACAACATTGTGAATGCACTAAACGCCGCTGGATTGTGCAGTTCAAAATGGTTCACTTTATGGGACCCTCACCTCAATGAAAGGTGCAGAGGGCTCGCGGTGAACAGTACCCCCCTTCCCCGCCCCTCCCCCCTTCCCCTCTGTCTCTTGCATCAGGGTGCAGCTGTTCTGGACGCGGACAAGGTGGAGCACACAGCGTGCACACCGGCACCTTGCTTCCTGCACTTGACAATACTTTCTGGAGGGCTCTTTTCGGACGAATGGCGTCTGCACTGAGCCCCAGGACAAGTTCCCGCAAGCAGAGCTGCTGGGGTTTGACTTGCAGTTAAAAACAACAGTTTTCGTGACGCGGACACATTGGACATTCCGCCACTAGGAGGAACTGGGGCAAAGGTTTTAAAACATTTTCACCAAGTTACAGAGAAAGAAATGTGAGTTTGTGGCCAGGGAAGCTGTGCATTCGGCACCAGCTGGAGGGCCCGCCTCGCCAACGGGCACCTGGGGCGCAGGGTGGGGTGGGGAGGGCTTGCCGCCCGCCAACAGGTGTCTGCAGGACGGGGTCTCCAGGATGCTGCAGGCCCCCCGCATTTGTCTGCAGCTTTCTAGGGAGAGGACTCCCAGCCCTTAGTAGACCCCGAGACTACCGGACAGTGAGCCCCAAGCTTTACACAGATCCGGCTTCAGCTTGTGATCTTCGGTTCAGGGGCTGGGCAACCTTGGGAAGGGACCGCACCCCCCAGCCCTGCCGCGGTGGGTGGGCTCGTAATCGCGACTCCACTCTGTGAGAGTCGTGGGTGAGGAAAGAACCACAAGTTTGGGAAGGGGCCCAGCACGGAGCCCGTTGTGCCAACAGCCTGGTCTCTGCGTCCTTAGTTCCCCGAGGAGGACGATGTCCCCGCCCCGCCCCCCGCCCCAGTGGCAAAGGTTCCCAGATGCTGCTGACCTGGAACAGGAGGTGAGAAGGGGCACACAGAGCCCCTCCTCCTCCCCATAGATTAGAGGCTGCCGGGCTTGGGGAAGGGGAGGGGAGGGGAGGGGGCGGGGCCAAGGGGATGGGGGTGTCAGTGCTGCTGGGGTGGGGGTTTCGGGAAAGGAAGTGGGGCTTCGGGAATGCGGGGAGGGGGCAGGGTTGCACGGGTGAGGGAGGGGAGGAAGGGGCAGGGTTGGGGTGGGTCAGGGTTGCAAGAGGGAGGAGTCCTGGAAGGGACCCTGGGGCACGCACTGGGGGGGGGGGTGTGGAGACCCTCCCTCAGCAGAGGTGGACGAGTGCACCTGAGTGAGCCTTCCTGAGCACAGAGGGGTCTCCGCCCCGCGCAGGCCCCGTTATGGCTGAAGTCTGAGGGCGCGTTGCTCCTCTGCCAGACCCACCGCAACACCTCCCTTGTCAGAATAAAATCACGGTCTTTACCCTGGGCCAGCAGACCCGCTGTGATCTGGCCCCCACCCTCTGCCATCACCTCCTACAAGCGCTTTGCCCCACCAGCCACACGGGCCTCCTGGCTGTTCCCGCTGCCCTAGGGCCTGTGCACGGCGTTCCCTGGGCCGGGAACACACCGTCCCATACACCGGCGGGCTGTTTCACCTCCCTCAGCCTTGCTCTGGTGTCACCTTCCCAGGAGGCCTTCCCCAACCACTCCAGCTGGAAAGGCAGGCCCACCCAGCGCTCCCCCCCCCTTTCTGTGCTCCTACCATCACCTAATTCTGGGATACTGTGGTTTTTATCATTTACCTGTCCACTAGGATGCACATTCCCAGAAGGCAGAGATTTCTTTTTTCCTTCTGTACCTCGGTACTCACAAACGGTGCCTGGCAGACAACAGGTGCTCAGTAAATATTTGGCAAACGAGTGACCTGTGCCCCATGAGTGTAAATGTGGATAGCTGTGGCCCCTGGCCACGGGGCATAATAAAGAGCTCCTTTTGGAGATAGCTCCTGGGTGTCTCCCCCCAGAAAGGGGCAGACGCAATGACTCAGCCTGAAGGCGTGCTGTTTGATGATTACAGGAAACAAAACAAAAGGTGATTTGGAACACCAAGAAACTTGCAGAGGTAAACCTGGGGCAAGTATGAATTGGCAACATTGTAGAGAACAGCTAGTCCCTGATCCTCCGCAGGGGCTCCAGGGGTGCAGCCCCGTCTTTGGGGTAAGCTGTCTGGACGATGAAGGCCAGTTTCCCAGGCCATCTCAGAGCACTGTCACAGCGTGCACACCTCTGGCATCTGGCAGCCTTAAATACTCTCGCTTTCCCCCACCCACTTTCAAAATTTAGAAATTGCCTCTGGTTTCATCGTAAGCCAGTGAAGATCCGTGAAGTCAGAAAGCCAAGGACTCACCTTGACACACACGTTGCCCAGTGCCCGTTAAAGTTAATATAAGACTTGCAAAACATGTTTGTATCCACCTGTAATACCTGATCATGGGACACTTTTGGGATCTGCTACGGAAAAGGCTGGGGAAATTGGTTCCATTTTCAATGAGGATTGTAATTGGTTTTCATTTTAACAACGCCAGCATCAAGGAATGTCTGCCAGGAAGATTCCAGTGGGTAAGTGGGAGTGGGGTGCTTGGGACCCCCATGTTACACTGGGGACTTTCGGGTTCCGTGCATGTGGCTGGACTGCAAGGTGGAGGCATAATAAGCGTGTTTTTTTTTTTTAATTTATTTTTTTTCAACGTTTATTTATTTTTGGGACAGAGAGAGACAGAGCATGAACGGGGGAGGGGCAGAGAGAGAGAGGGAGACACAGAATCGGAAACAGGCTCCAGGCTCTGAGCCATCAGCCCAGAGCCTGACGCGGGGCTCGAACTCACAGACCGCGAGATCGTGACCTGGCTGAAGTCGGACACTTAACCGACTGCGCCACCCAGGCGCCCCATAAGCGTGTTTTTAAAGGTCGGAAGCAGATGATCGAGCCAAAACTCGGAACACAGTGACCGAGCATTGCCAGCAGCCTGGAGGGAGCTCAGTGTTATGAGCTAAGTCACCATGTGTAGTTTACCGCTGAAAAACCAAGACCTCGAGAGATAAACCTGTGGAACTTTATCAAGAAAGAGGTGTTGCGAACAGAAATGGTTAAAAATAGATAAATGAAACCCACGCAGGCCTCCAGGGCTCGGTCAGCACCCGCTCCCCGCTCCCCTGGGCTACTTTTCTGTTACCAGGCATGTGTATTACTAGGGCATGGTTTTTGTTTTCTGTTTTTAATTTCCAAATGCTGATCCCTGGGTGGAAGGCTCTGGGCCCAAGTCCAAGCAAAGCCTCAGCAACTCAGGAGAACTAGAGCCCCGGGCCCAGCGGCTTCCACCGCCCATTTTCCAAGAACACGTCCACCCCGGCAGGATGTTCCGTCAGCCGCCCTGCTGTGCCCTGGACAGCCCAGCATCCCGAAGCCCAGCGTCAGGGCCCTGTGCACCTGAGGGCTCTCTGGCCAGGGCTGCGTCAGTGTCCCAGGGGTCCGTCTCCGCACTGGACAGGTGGGGTCCCGGGCTCAGAGCGGGCTTTCCTCCAGCTCTGGACAGAACCCAGGGCTCCCGAGGTTCCGACTCCTCTCTCAGGCTCTCAGGACTCACCCCCAGGGCAGAGCTTTCCTGAAGCAGGGAGGCAAGAGCGAGGTGTGTTGGGGTTCCGACCAGGGGCACAGGGCTGCCAAGAGCAAGCCCTTTGAGGAAGGAAGTTGGGACGGATGGGAAGGAAGTGGGTGAAGCCAGAGGCCCGCACGGCCTCTGTGCAGGAGACACCTCCTTCCCTCACCGGCAAGGCCCAGACGGAGGGCCGCACAGCCTGTGTCTTCCGGGGCCGGGCGGCCCAGGGCAGAGGCTGGACACCGGTGTGGGATTAGCTACGCGACCCGGGACGAGCCAGCCCCACCCGAGTCTGTTTCTTCATCTATAAAAGGGGGACTCTTGGTTGCAAGGGGCAGAAGCCCCAACTGAAGCCAGCCTGCGATAAAAGGACAACAAAATGTTGCACTCCAGGGCAGGGCTGACAGGGCACGAGGCAGGCTGACGGGGGCAGCCTGGGCCTCACGCCTCCCCAGCCGGTTCTGTCTGTCCCTGACGCCTCGTCTCTGGCTCTGCACCGGCTCCCTCGTGTGGACACATAGGACCCTGGAAGGAGCCGGCGGTGTGTTCCCACCCGGGGCCTCTCAGCAGAAAGGTTCCAAGTGCAGAGCACAGGGCCTGTCTGGATGTCACACGGGATGTGACAAAGAGCTGTTTTCTTGTGCAACGGTGGGCGGCTCACTGCCTTGTATTCGCTTTTGTGCCTCGTTCCCCACCCCACCCCCCAGCTGTGCCCTAGGAATACAGAACTAACAAAGTCTTACAGCAGAAGCTTTGCCTTGGGGTCTGTTTCCTAGAGAACCTCGGATGAGATAGCTGCTCATAAGCTGTGTGACCTTGGATACTTGCTTAATCTGTCTGTGCTTCAATTCTCTCATCTGAAAAATGGAGTCATGGGTTACACTGACTTATGGAGTCATAGGAACTCCTATCTCATGGGTTACACTGAGTTAAACATGCAGAAGGCACCGGGAGCTGGGGAAGCTTTCTTTTTTTATTTTTATTTTTTTAAGTTTGTTTTTATTTATTTTGAGAGAGAACAAGACTGAGCAGAGGCGGGGCAGAGAGAGAGAGAGAGAGAGAGAGAGAGAAGGAGAGATAGAGAATCCCAAGTAGGCTCCACACTGACAGCACAGAGCCCAACATGGGGCTTGAACTCACAATCCTTCAGATCATGACCTGAGCGGAAGTCAAGAGTCTGACGCTTAACCGACTGAGCCATCCAAGTGCCCGTGCCTCTAATTTTACAATTGAGGAAACTGAGGCCCAGAGAAAGGAAGTAACCTGGCCAACTCGAGGGAACGGGCAGAGACAAGGAGTATATTGGGGGAGGAGGCACACAGGTCCCATCCCCAGCCTAGCACAGAGCCCTCTGGAACAGACCCCCCCAACATCAGGGAGCCAGGGGGCCGGGCCTGGGGACCCTGTGGCTTCTGCCTGGGTCGGTTGTGTCTGTGGCCTCTCCAGGGGCTGGCCGGGAACGGGGAGCATGGGCGCCCCCGCCGAGGCCTCAGAGTCCTGGTGAATGGCCCAGACAGCCAGGAGCCAGGGCTGAGGCAGCGGTAGGCCAGCACCGGTCACCATGGGGGCTGAACATCCAGGCGTGGAGTTTGCTCTCTGCCCAAACCCTGTGTCCTACTTAATGACAAACCTCTAAGACCAGGCAGTGGGGTGAAACAGAGGAGTGTCTTTAGCAGAGTCAGGCTGGGGTCCTCTCAGGTTCTAGCTGACCCTTTCCTATTCCAGGCCTGCTCCTTGATGTCCGGGTGGCACTAGCTGGGACCAAATGACACGCCCAGGTAAGCTCACACTCAGATGTGAGTGCCAGCAGCCTGGCCTCCTAAAACAGGAGAGGGGAGCAGGGTTACACTGGGGCCCCTCGTACCCAGAGCATCCATATCCAAGGCTGGTGTGTGTCAGGACGGCCCCATCATCGTACGGATGGGGACACTTTGGGAGGATGAGACATGCCAGCGTCACAGCCGGCGGAACAGACCCAGGTGTCCAACCCAGGCCGGGGTGTGCAGAGCGGATGTGACCGAACTCAAGGGCTTTATCCCCCAGGAATACACAACCCGAGGGTGTGTTGCAAGCAAAGAACTTTGTATTACTTGTTCCAAGTGAGGAGACAGGGAGATGGCTCTCAAAGCACCGGCTCCCCGTGGGGTCAGCGCAGGAAGCTCTCACCGGGGGGCTGGGGGCAGGGGCAGGGAGCTTGAGTAAGCAGGTCGACTGTGGACACACGTCGGTGTGCATGCACATGGTGTGTACCCTGTAGGTCCGAAAAATGGTAGAAAACTCCACCCACAGCAGGGACACTTCGGGTTGTAATGAGCTAAAGGTAACGTCCCCCCGGGGGGCTGCTGTGCCAGCCCTAAGCTCGTGCTCACACTGGGGCCTGGCCCCGGCCTGGAGCTGTTGTTCTGCAAAACCAAACCCACTCCTCCCTTGCCTTTGTCACTTCCCTTCCCCGCTTCGCCTGCTGGTTTTCAGCCCTCTGATTCCAGTGACTTCCAGACGCACCTTAGCTGGCACCCAGGGCTCCGCGAACGGTGGGTGGGGGCTCAGAGGAGGCCCACGGACCCAGGGGATGGGTCTTCCCTTCTCAAGCTCCAGGCGCCTGTGGAGCTCAGCACAGGGCACAGTCATTGTGGAATGAATGCTGCCCAGGCGTCTAAAAACCTTTTTTTTCTTTTTCCAACTGAGAATCTGATTGCCTCAATAGACTGGTCGGACTTCAAGAACTTCACTCTTTCCGGAGGCCGTCCTGGGGCGGGACTGAGACAGACCTTGAACCCCCAGCCCTCGACACGGCGGAGTGGAGCCCCAGGGGGAGACAGCCCTCATCCTAGCCTACTGGGGCCTCTGGAGCCACCTTCAGTCAGCCCTTTCTGAGGACCTGCATTACCGAGGAGCCCCATCACCCCTGGGACCGTCTCAGCGTTCGGAATGGAGTCCTCTCGGGTTTTGCCACGGTTTGGAAAGAGCATTCGCTCCACAGGGCCGTGGGGGCCTGAAGAGTTGAGGTAGAGTTGCAGAAAGTGGGGAGAGCCCAGGTAGAGAGCCTGTCTCCCTCACCCCAGGCTTCCCACACTCACCTCCTCTGGGAAGCCTTCCCGGATGCCCCTGTATTCTCCGAACTTCCCTGGCATCTTCCATGGAGACTTCCTCCCTGCCGCCTCTGCTCGTCTGGGGCCCGACCACACGCAGTGCAGGGATGAGGAACACTGGTCTGCTTCTATGGGGTTCCGGCCCCACTGGGAAGGGAGCCTTGGACGTCAGGAACAGCGGAGAAAGGACCAGTGTGTAAATCAAGCTGCTGTTTTCCAGGCTCTACTAAAGCGGGTTACACACATTCTCCATGTAACCCTCGTGTAGCCTTCTAAAACTGCCACGATTATCATTATGTTATAGATGAGGACGCTGAGACACACAGACGTTAAGCTGCTGAGGTCGCACGGGCAGCACATGCCAGAGCCCTACTTTGAGCCCCAAAGGGCCACCTGTCAGAGCCATCATCCACGTGTGTGGCTCAGGGGTGGAGGCAGGCGAGGGGTGGCTTCCTGGAGAAGTGGGGGGCATGCGGGCAGGGACAGGAGGGTGGGTGTGGACTAACCCTTAGTTCCCGCGTTTGAGGGTGTGATTGCAGGCTAAGGGTTTGGGGCAGAATTATGGCCCCCCAAATGTCCACGTCCTGACCCAACCTGTGAATACGTTAACTCCCACGTCAAAAGGGACTTGGCCAATTTGGCCAAGTTAAGGATCTCAAGATCATCCCGGATTATCCGGGTGGTCCCATGTGGTCCCAAGGGTCCTTATAGGAGGGAGGCAGGAGGGTCTGAGTGAGGGGAGATGTGACAAGGGACAAAAGTCAGAGAGAGAGCGGAAGCCGTCACACCACCGATGGAGGAGAGGCCATGCACCGAGGAGCCCGAGTGGCTTCCGGGGAAGCTGGGAAAGGCAAGGAAAGGGGTTCCCTCTGGAGCCTCCAGGCGGAACGCAGCTCGGCCAACGCCTTGACTTTCGCCCCGCGGGCCCGCTCTGGACTGCTGGCCTCCAGCGCTGGAAGAGAACACGTGTGTGTTCCAACGGCAGCGGCCGGAGCAGACACGGGGCTCGGGACAGCACCGCCCTTCAGAAAGCCAGATTCAGTCCTACCTTCCGTCTTCCGGGCCCTGTGATGGGTCTCGGGGACACAGTGGCCAGGGGGACACCGCCCCGGGCCTGCTGAACTAGGGGCCCCTCGAGCCGAGCAGGTTATCAGTAAGTGGCAGCCGACAGAGCCCGTTCCCAGGCTGCACGCAGGGCCTCTGTTTATCGGAAAGGGGCTTATCTGGATGGTGGGGCCGGGCTCTGCAGGGGTGAGGCGGTGCCCACTGCTGCCCACACGCCCCGCGGGGGGTCCTCACCCCGCCGAGTGGGGGTCTCCACGGGCCTGCGGGGAGGCATGAGGGGTCAGCCCCGGCGCCGACACACAAGTGCCCGAACACCGCCCGGCACGTCCGCGGCTACACTGGCCCCGAACTGGAAATGACCCGCAGGCCATCCGCGGGGCGGCTCGGGGGCCGCCTTCTCGCTCGGTGGGGCACTAGAACGGCCCCGAAAACATCTGCTAATTCTCATCAGGCTCACACCGAGCCAGAGAGCACCTCTTGCACGACCCCGCTCATGCAGTGTTCACAAGGAGGAAACACCAATCTGCGTGTTGGACGTCAGGGGGGGCTGCCCGGCCGGGCGTGACTCGGGGCGCTGGGCTTCGGGAGAACTGGTGATAGTCCGCTGAGCGGTGTACTCACGGACAGTGTCTTTTCTGAGCGCGCGTTATATTGCGGTAAGAAGTTCATTTTTATTTTATTTTATTTTTTGTTTGATTTTATTTTTTAAATATGGTCATTTTTTTTTTAAACATTTATTTATTTTTGAGAGAGAGAGAGAGGGAGACAGAGGATCTGAAGCAGGCTCTGTGCTGTGAGCACAGAGCCTGATGTGGGGCTCGAACTCACAAACTGTGAGATCATGACCTGAGTTGACATCAAGTCAACTCAGGCCGCTTAACTGACTGAGCCACCGAGGTGCCCCAGAAGTTCATTTTTATTTTTTGAATCTTAATTTTATTTTTTATTATTTTTTTTAATTTACATCCAAATTAGCATATAGTGCAACAATGATTTCAGGAGTAGATTCCTTAACGCCCCTTCCCCATTTAGCCCATCCCCCCTCCCACACCCTCTCCAGGAACCCTCAGTTTGTTCTCCATATTTAATGAGTCTCTTATGTTTTGTCCCCTTCCCTGTTTTTATATTATTTTTGTTTCCCTTCCCTTACGTTCATCTGTTTTGTCTCATAAAGTCCTCATATGAGTGAAGTCATATGATTTTTGTCTTTCTCTGACTAATTTCACTTAGCATAATACCCTCCAGTTCCATCCGTGTAGTTGCAAATGGCAAGATTTCATTCTTTTTGATTGCCAAGTAATACTCCATGGTATATATATATATACCACATCTTCTTTATCCATTCATCCCTAGATGGACATCTGGGCTCTTTCCATACTTTGGCTATTGTCGATAGAGCTGCTATAAACATGGGGGTGCATGTGTCCCTTTGAAACAGCACACCTGTATCCCGTGGATAAATGCCTAGTAGTGCGACTGCTGGGTCATAGGGTAGTTCTATTTTTAGTTTTTGGAGGAACCTCCATACTCCATACTGTTTTCCAGAGTGGCTGCACCAGCTTGCACTCCCACCAACAATGCAAAAGGAATCCTCTTTCTCCGCATCCTCGCCAACGTCTGTTGTTGCCTGAGTTGTTCATGTGAGCCATTCTGACAGGTGTGAGGTGGTATCTCAGTGTGGTTTTGATTTGTATTTCCCTGACGATGAGTGATGTGGAGCATTTTTTCATGAGTCAGTTGGCCATCTGGATGTCTTCTTTGGCGAAGTGTCTGTTCATGTCTTTTGCCCATTTCTTCACTGGATTATTTGTTTTTTCGGTGTTGACTTTGATAAGTTCTTTATAGATTTTGGATACTAACCCTTTATCTGATATGTCGTTTGCAAATATCTTCTCCCATTCTGTCGGTTGCCTTTTAGTTTTGCTGATTGTTTCCTTTGCTGTGCAGAAGCTTTTTATTTTGATGAGGTCCCAGTAGTTCATTTTTGCTTTTGCTTCCCTTGCCTCCAGAGATGTGCTGAGTAAGAAGTTGCTGCGGCCAAGATCAAAGAGGTTTTTGCCTGTTTTCTCCTGGAGGATTTTGATGGTTTCCAGTCTTACATGTAGGTCTTTCATCCATTTTGAGTTTATTTTTGTGTGTGGTGTAAGAAAGTGGTCCAGGTTCATTTTTCTGCCTGTCACTGTCCAGTTTTCCCAGCACCATTTGCTGAGGAGACTGTCTTTATTCCATTGGATATTCTTTCCTGCTTTGTCAAAGATTAGGTGGCCATACGTCTGTGGGTCCATTTCTGGGTTCTCGATTCTGTTCCATTGATCCGAGTGTCTGTTCTTGTGCCAGTACCATACTGTCTTGATGATTACAGCTTTGTACTACAGCTTGAAGTCTGGGATTGTGATGCCTCCTGCTTTGGTTTTCTTTTTCAAGATCGCTTTGGCTATTTGGGGTCTTTTCTGTTTCCATACAAATTTTAGGATTATTTGTTCTAGCTCTGTGAAGAATGCTGGTGTTATTAAGTTCATTTTTATTTTTATTTAAAGATTTATTTATTTTTGAGAGAGCGAGCAAGCCCAAGGCAGGGAGGGGCAGAGAGAGGGGGAGAGAGAGAATCCCCAGCAGGTTTCGTACTGTCAGCACAGAGCCTGACACGGGCTCGAACTCACAAACCCCAAGATCGTGACCTAAGCCAAGGTCCAACGCTTAACTAAGACGCCCAGGCACCCCAAGAAGTTTATTTTTAAAATCACTGACCATACATTTGTGATAAGCACCGGATGAAACTAATATAATGCTGTATGTTAACCACACTAGAATTACAATAAAATAAAGTAAAATGAAACAAAGTAAAATAAAATAAAAAATACCTGAGCATATGCCAGTGATTAGGGTATTTTGCTGGCTCTGCGAAACAAAGGTCGTTGTCTGGAACTGAGGACGCACAGGCTCTGACACGAACCTACCTGCACTGAGATGCTACGTGACCCTGGGCAAACTGTGGCCCATTTTTGGGTCTCAACTTCATCCAAAAATTGGAAGGGTGTGCATGTGAGTTCTATGATTTTTGTAGAAACTGAGCAAAATGTTCGAACTGCAGCTAATCCGTATCCTCTCAGCCTTGGTTGGGGCTGGACGTGTTTTCCCGTGTCCTGTTGGTGGTCATGTGAAGATTTGGCTCCACTGCTAACCTTGGCCACAGAGGCAGGTGTGTGGGCGTCTGGAGAGAACGTGGTGGGCATTGGGATCCTTTAGATGGGCCGGAGTTTTGTGTGACCTTGGGTTAGCTACTTAACCTCTGTTTGTTTCCTCACTGGTGAAGTGAGTGTGATGGCATCCACTCCACTGGGCAGGTGCAAAGCTCAGGTAGATGCCATGCTCTCCCTACAGCTGGGGAGGGCCCTCAGCCGTGTGGGGAGGACTCTCAGCGGGGTGGGGAGGATCCTAAGGATGACATCTGATCAGTCTGACAGTTTGTTGATCCAAACTAGACAAAGAGAGGAAAAGTGGCCGGGGCCCCTTGTAGGGCAGAGGCCGTGGCACGAGGGTCTCCCCTTGCCAGCCCACGAGCCCTGGGAGGAGCAGAGGAGACGGAGAGGTAGATGCTGGTGTCCTAGGGGCCTGCCTTCGCTCCCTGTGGGACGCTCCCAGGGCCTTGTGGACATGCCAGTAACCGCAGGGCTGGAGACGCCTCCCTGAATTCTGCTCGGGTGGGGGCCGCACTCTGTGGAGCAAACAGGACTCGGCGGGGGGGCGGGGGTCCTGACACACGAGGGACAGCCATGAAGACTGCTGGCTGGGCGCTGCAGCACAGAGAATTTTCTACGGGCCTAGGGTTCCCAGTGCTACAAGCCAGGGGGCTCTGAACTTCTGGCCTTCTGTGTGGAGGCTGGTGCTTCTCCCAGCCTGTGTCAGAGAATCCAAATCTGCTTATTTTTAATGACGTTTTCCTAATTATATTTTATATAGATGCTCATGCAAGAAAAAGGAAAAGAAAAGAAACACGTAGAAAAGCAAAGTAAGAAAATAAAAATCACCCATAACTTCATCCTCTGGAGACAGGAGCTGTGCACGCCCTTCAGATTTAGGTGCCTCGTGACCACATATATTTTATCAGTTAGACTCTTTGGTGGCCGGTGGCAGAAGCTGACTCCGGCTATCTGTACTAACTAAAGCACACTTTGCTGGATCGGGAAAATTGCCAGACTGCCACAGCTTCACACAGTGCACATTTATTTCCTGCTGAGAGGCCCCACACAGCTGTTCCAGCAGGTGGAGGGTGTGGGGGCCGCCTGGTTTCACTCAGCCACCCAGACGCCCAGGCCGAAGGTGGTTCTGGGTCTCGGGTCCCCCGTCCTCACGCAGCCACGGACGGAGGAAGACAGCTGGTGCAGGAGGGGTCTCCGGGCGTGGCGTCCAGACCGTCCCTTTGCTCTCCGTTAGCCAAATTCGGACCCGTGGCCACCTGCCAGGAGGCTGAGGCTCCAGCTTTGAGGGCCAGCGTCCCTCAAGGTGCCCTGGGAGCCACGGAGCGGGAGGTGGTAAAAGGGCAGCCGTCTGTAGCCAGGGACACCGGCCACTGCAGCTGCCAGGGACCCTTCCCAGGCTCTGGGCCCCTCCCGCAGGGTTCAGCGTCTCAGACGAGAGCACTGGCGGTCAAGCCCGAATCCTACCACGTCCCTGGCCTTCCAGTAACCCTGGTGCAGGGGGGAAGGCTCTGCCCTCTGCCGGGGTCGCCCCACTCTCTCTCCAGGGAGAGACCACTCTCTGAAGGGCTACTGGGACAGGAGATCGGTGCTGGACACTCAAATAACCGTCTTTCATATTGTGCACTTCCCTGCGCTGTGTTGCTGGGCCCGGACCCTGTCCTTTGGCCGGTCCCACTCCCTGGGCCTCCCCCCACCATCCCAGAGGCCACAGCCGCCCCAGGGTTTCTACAGGATGGAGGGACGTCAAGGCCAATCCGGTCAGTGGAACTGCCCAGAGGCCTCATGGAAGGTAGCCACATGGAGTCCAAGGTGGCTCAGCTTGGGCCACGTGTCACCAAAGTTTCCGTGTTACGCCCCCCTGTAAACAAGAAGACGTCCCCAGTCCTCCCGTTGCCACAACGGTGACCAGCCCACAGAAAGCAGCGGGAGGGGAAGGGAAGGAGGGCCACAAAGGTAGAATTCACCTCTCGTTCCCAGTCTGGAGGGGAGTTGTCTTTGGGGGACCTCCCTCTGTGAGTTCCTGGGTCCCTGACATACCCCAGTTGGCATTTGAAAAAATAAGCACATAACGAGATGCTCGACACGGTTGGTCCTCAGGGAAACGCCGACTGAAGCCTTGAGCCGTGACTCCCTTCACGAGATGTGACTCCAATGGACAAGACCGGTGACAGCTGGTGTCGGGGAGGCCGCAGAGCCGCTGGAACTCCCGCACGCTCATGGCGGGGCTGTGCGATGGCCGCTGAACAATTATTCCGTGAGTGGCTGGTGTGAGCTCTTCTGTGACCCTGCGGCGCCCTTGCAGGCATTTGCTGATGAGCAGAGAAGCCCTGTGTTCACACGAAGATTGCACGCGGCTTCGTTCTGACAGGGGGGAGCCGGGAACAATGGCACGTCCCTCATCAGGATCAGGGACGAACAAACTGCCGTCTGCTCGCACGACAGAACACGTCTCGTCAACGCAAAGGAACCACTGCCCCCCCCACAGCCACGGACAGACCTCAGAAACACGGTGAGCAAAAGCAGCCGGGCCGAAGGGACGCATTCGCGGGGGTCCACCAGATGTGGGTTCAAGGCAGGCAGACCCTCCCCGTGGGGTCGGAGCTCAGGAGGAGCAAACTCGTGGGCGATGGAAATGCTCTCCGTCTTGACGTGGGTGGTGGTCACCTGGGTACATGTGCCAGGGGTCATCGAGCCGTCCGCTTGTGCTGTGCCTTTGACCGCATGTGATTTATATTCTAATAAAGTACCGTGAAAATCTGTGATCCCTTTCTGGCGAATGCTGGGCCTTTCTGACTGTGGTCCCACCTCGGCTGCTGGGCGGGTCGGGGACCCATGGGCCCGGAGGCGGGTGGAGGGGGACCTCGGACCCAAGCTCAGGATGCGGGTCACCCGGTCTCACTGGTCCTGCCTCCTCTGTGAGCCCTCGGCAGGTGAGCACGGGGCGGTCTCTGCTGCACGGTGACCTGTGGCCTCCCTGGTGGCCTCGCCACGCCCACCCCCCCCACCCCCCCACCCCCGTCCTCACTGGCAAAGAGTAACAGGGCACTGCTGTGTTAACCTGCATTGCTCTGGTCCGTAGTGACGGGGAACTTCTAAAGCGTGATCGCTGACCATTTTCATTTCTCTGTTCAGGGCCTGACGTCTTCTAGGGCCCGGTCCGCAAACCGCTTGTCCGCTACCCAGAAAGGAAAGACAAACGTCTGCCAAGCAAGGGTTTCCGAAGGGATTTTTACTTTTCCCTGCGAGACTGTGCTCCTCTTTTCTGTGCTTCTCCTGGGAGGGGTCCCTTCTGCGGGTGTTTCTTTTGTAACGACGGTGACAACGGAATCAGATGATCGTCAGAGTAGGTAAAATCGGGTCAAATCCCTCAAATCCGACAGCCTCAAATCCAAGCTCCCCCACGGCTTCTACGCCTTTCCAGAGGCGGGGCATCCCGTGGCTTCCTCTGAGTGTTCTCAGGGTCCCCTTCCGGACCCACCCTGCCCTGCACACACCCGCGAGTGCACACACTCACCCACACCCGTGTCCCTGCCCTGCACACACCCACGAGTGCACACACTCAC